TAAATTTATGTGAATTCGAACGAGATTGTTCTTATTCATAATTTTGAACTGGGATGTATTTACGGCTAACTTATTTATAACATAAGTATTTTTTTTTTTACTCGGATACACATATGAAATAAGCTATTCATCATGTTGAATTGAATGATTCATATCCGTATTAGATTATTTTTTGATTGAAATACAAAAGAGTTATTCACCATGTTGAATTCAGATATATTCATGGATTCGAAAAATCAGAAATCGGAAATGTCGAAATGAATTTATTTCTATCCATTTCAATTTATTCTCATTTAATCAAATATTTAAATTAAATATACAGTGAGTCATGTGACAACATGTTAATTGTTTGAATTAATAAATATTTGTTTAAAATTAACAAATATTTGCTTAACAGCCCGTGTCCATTACATTTAATTGATTAAACTATAATAATATTTTTTTTAATCAGTAATTTTTTTTCTCACATTCATATCAGTCACTCTATTCGGAATTCAATTAGCATAATTCTGATTTAATTCCAAGTGTTAATAATTTGCATCAAATTTTGATATTAATATCAATGTTGACGTTTTCTGCTTTACAGCTTGTAGCACAAGTGTACAAGGTAGTTCCGCCAATCTTGTTGGAGACTGGCAAGGTGAAGAACCCGTGGCCGAATGTGGACGCACATTCTGGTGTGCTGTTGCAATACTATGGTATGAAGGAGATGAATTACTACACGGTTCTGTTCGGCGTATCGCGCGCGTTGGGCGTGCTCGCTTCTCTCGTTTGGGATCGCGCTTTAGGACTACCCATCGAGAGACCTAAGTCCCTCAGCACCGATCTCCTTATGAAGGCTGTCAAGGCTTAAGAACCGTTTCTCACTGGATCGACGATCGACCAGCATCACCTCGAAGTCTCGTCGTTTCCTGACCTCAATTTTATTCGAGCGTCAACCGCGGCACCAGGAACTTTGATAGAATATCATTTTTGATACCAACCTCGACGGAGACACCTCAACGAGCCCGCGCCTTATTGAGCAAATGACAGTGTGATTGGAAGAGAGTGAGAGAGAAGGAGAGAGTGGAGAATGAAAGAGACAAGGCTAGGGGTATTAAACACGACAAATAATTACATCTAATGTATTATCTAAATGTAAAATTATTAAGAGCAGACACATCAATGTTCCCCATCAACGAATTCGCGTTAATTCTCTTCCCGCTGTCGATATTTTCAATGAATGACAATAAAAACATGTTAATCACACAATATACCTGTATAAATTAATTATATATATATATAGTATATATATA